TAATATTGGGGAAGGTGTTAATAGCCATGTTTCTGTGTTTGCAGATGATACTAAAAGTGGGAGGGTATATTTTGAGGTTAAAAACAGGCAAGCGGAATACACATTAATGGGTAGTCCACTAGGGAAGTCAGAAATGTAAAAAGATTTGGGGGTCATAGTAGATAACAGATTGAACAAAAGCATGCAATGCCAGGCTGTGGCAAACAAAGCTAGCATTCTTGTATTAAAAAGGGAATGTACTCTAAAGACAAAGGAATAATTTTGCCACTTTATAGATCACTGGGTCGGCCTCATCTTGAGTATGCGGCTCAATCCACAGAAAGGATGTCCTTGAGCTGGAGAGTCCAAAGAAGAGCAACAAAACTAATGAAGGGGCTAGATGATCAAAGCTATGAGACATAGTTGCTAAATTTACATTTGTTCATGCTGGAAGTGAGAAGATTGAGAGGACATGATTTTGATGTACAAAATGTTATATATATAATATTGGAACATAATGCTCATGTGCTGGTTTGAATGGGCCCAGGAAAGAAAAAACCCTGACAGAGTTTGGCTTTAGATGCACCTTAATTATTTAGAACTATTTTTATAACTAAGACTGGCAATTTTGCTTTAATGTGTACCGACATGGCATGCACATGTTTTATAAGCTTTGCTTTTGTGTACGTTGTACCTCGATTGATCCACCAGTGCAACCAAATGTACTCCTTACATATACAGGCTATGCTTCCTGCTTAGTAGCCCTTAACAAAGATTTGTGCTTTTGATGATCTTCTATTGCTGAAGTCTATCAGATGTGTTGTTAATAATAGACTTGTTGCTGTCCCTTATGACATGCAGCATCACTTCTTGTAGCTGGAGACCATGTGATGTAGTCTGCCTAGGCTTTGGGTCACATGATGGAGCTCTGGCAAAGCAGTTATCTATTTACACATGACAAAAAGGAGGTCATTTGATTCACTAATGCTAGCACATGCTGTGTCAATGATGTGACGTTTGATTCTTTATCGTGCAGACCTGTAATAAAATTTCTGTCGCAATGCAAAATACCTGCGTTAGGATTTCTGCCACATCCTGTGAATCAGCCGAAATTCTAACGGGGGAGGCCCTTCCAGCTCGACAAAAGTTGATTACTCAATCGACTTTTTTGTAGAAGGAGCCAGGCCAAACACTGTCATCTGAGCAGGGACTGCAGGTTTTCTGACGGTGGGCACCAGCTGTCAAAATGCATTAGGGGGAATTCCTCCATCCATGCTAAACAAGAGTTTGTTAGATTTCTTTCGTTCAGGCCGCCCGCTGAACAAAACAAATCTAACAGATTCCTCCATCCTTACTGAACAGCATGGATGGACTAATTCCCCTGTTTCCATTGTATATTGACAGCAGCCGCCAGCCTAGTCGCCAACAGAGTGAATTTTGTCCGATTCCTGCTGAAGCTATCTTTCTGCCTTTTCATTCCAGGACAGTGAAGCAGAATCTGTTCAGTTTCCGCACATGTGATGTCAGGGCCTTAGTAGTGTGCAGGCCAAGGGTCACACACTAGCAGCTGCTGCCTGAAGGCTTTTCGCATGAGGGTTGTGCTTCATGAGAGATTGCATCTAAAAAAAATATCATACCTGACAGATTCCATCTAAAGAATATTCTTCCAACTGCATTGACCTCGTTTTGACACCATCCGTAAATTTTTAGGTATCACAGCTATCGGAGAAGGTTGAAAGGTATCTTGTTCTTGCACAGACCTGTCGCAAAGCCCATCTCCCCAGACTTTAAAAGAAAATATTGGGAAAGAGCGGTAACTAAATTGAGTGGGTCTAGGGAAAAAAATAGGGGCCCACCAGATGATTCACTGTTAAACAAGGGGAGGATCTCAACCCATCGTTTCTCCTTAGGATGCAACATCTCCTGTGTCAATCTGTGTTATTGGGAGCAAGTAAAATGCATCCAATAGAACCATGTGTTTATCTCTTACATTCAAATTTGCAGTGAGCTCTTCCATGTTCCTAATTTTAGCAATCTTCGAACCACATTTGTATTGTAGGGTGAGTCTCCTGTCTTTAAAGAGATGGAATACAGGCCCTAGCTGCGTTCACTAGGTGGATCAGCAATGAGCACATCTATCTGAGACCCTGGAAAGGAAATCCAAGAGATGGACCAAGGTGGCTGGTCACCTAAGTAATTTCTGTTTTATAAATGTGATCTCAAAAGGGTCTCAGTGGTGGACATTGCCAGAAAATGTGTAGGATTGTGCCCTCATGTTCCCCACACCTCCAGCATATCTTGAATACCTGAGGGTATGTTTTATGTAGCAAAGAGGAGACACTGTACCACCAAGTTAAGATTTTGTAACAGCATTCTTGAAATGTGCATGAGATTAGATGGGCAAAGTACAGGATGTCAGCCCTCTGCTCTGGGGTAAAACTTGTTAGCAGATCTTCTTCTTCTTTTTTTTTTAACTTGAGTAGCAGGAAAAGGGGGGTAAAAAAGGCCATGGGACTTGTTAAGCAAGAGGATGAGTGTGAGATTAAGGTATGTCTACAGCACATTACTTTTTACTGGAAGCTGTGAGTTTGTTTCCTTGCTACTCATTTCCTGACATACTTTCTTCATGAGCGAGCAAAGGATTACACCGGATCATTTCCATGTGCTTTCCTGGAGCTGTATTCACAAAGCGAGATCAAATTATCTACATAACACATAAACATATTACATATACTAATGCTTGTTGGTTTTGAGCTGGCGTGAGAAATTTTAAGGCTTGAAAATGTTTCTGTCCTTCTCGGTTTCAGCAGACTCTAGATGCAGGCCCTAAAAGTTCTACATGTTTAGCACATGAGAACATATTTTTAAAGGGGTAAGGATTTAGAAACACCAAAATGGTTTAAATAGTATATGTCTATGTATGATGAAATGAAATACAGGATAATTTATGTTTCACCGATTCTACTGGTTGGTGTGTAGGTTTAGTGTTTTTACAATACAATGCGTCTGTTAGTCATAATGTTTATGTCTCACTGAACAAAACTCGAGACAGAACTTCATATGAAGGGAAGAGGAAAAGGAAGGCATTCTCTATGCAGAAAACTGTTGTGTTTTTAATTAGAACTGCACACTCCAGACGTGTAAAATATTACTTCTTTTGTCTAACAATGTAGGGTTCGAAAGGGCCTAGGCAAAAAAGCCATTTTCTTTTTAGGTACTTCCTCTGCCTATTGTGGACAAATTAGATCAAAAGTAAATACTTGTGATAAGTCTGGCAAGCTTTTTATTAATGTCCTGGTTTTACCACTAAGCACCAGATTATGCATGGATCATATTGCATGATTGATCCTCTTGAATATTAGATGTGCATTCCAGGACATTTTGAGTTGGTGCCTTCTGAAGGAATCAGAGTTGAAATACAGGAGCGGCAATTGCTAGGTTGTTTTTCACAGTGCTGGCTCTGGGGCTGTCATGCTTATCCTTGCCTTATTATAGTTGGTCACCAACCTTGAACAGGCACGTGAATATTCGATATCTGGAGCAGAGAAACAAAAGTTACTAGGTCAGATCCCACAAGCCAGGTAGCCACTGCGCCTTAACATTTACAGCCAGCGCCTAACTTTTGAGCCTTTCTCCAGTTGTCAATAGAGCTAGCGCCTTAAAAATCCTGCTGACTCCTGGATTAGTCAGGCTGGCTCATGAATTCCATATTACTTTGTTCACCCCTGTACTGTACTAGGTATATGTTTACAGGTACATAATGATACCGTAATTTAGGGGTGGACAAATTAATATGCAATTCAGGAGCCAGTCTGCCCCATTCAAAAGCCAGAAGTGTTTTTTAGGTGCCAGCTCCTTTGACAACAACTAAAGAAATTAAAAAGAGATTTTGCGGCGCTAAAAGCCCCTACTGTGTCAAACTAATTATCTAAACAAAACAAGTGACTCACATGTGCTGTGAGTAATATAAATTAAATATCAGTGAAAAACTCTGCTTTAGAGCTGTCAATCTAAATTTATATCTGTGAATATAGGGGAACCGAAAGACCAGGTTGTCTCTTGACATTGTGATAAGTAAATAAACAGTGTGACCACTAACCAAATATATTAGTGACTCAAATAAATAATCAAAAATTAAAATATACAGTCACTTTGTGCAAGTGATAAATAGTGTTGTGACTCTTATATGTTTATACAGATTTCTCAACATACAGAAAAACCGTGAACAACTGGTGACCAATTGAAAAATCAACAAACAGTTCAATATGAATTCCTTTTGTTAAACGTCCTCCAATCTCTTAGATAACGTGCTGGTGTATCCACTATTGGTGCATAAAGTGATCTTCAGAGTGTTTCACACAAACAAAAACCCCCTAGGCAGTGCTCACTCACCGCATACAAGTCCTTTTGAAATTTTGCAGTCAGTATGAGGCAGGTATAGGATCAGATATCTCTCTGGTACTTCTGCCAGGTATTTAGACAGATGATGTTACCTAGAAATCACAAAATCAAGAGGGAGTCCTTGTAGGAAGCACAAACGTGGAAGCATTGATTTGTACATTTTCTCCTCTATGAAATCTGGACTGGCACAAATTTTCCTTTTGTTTTGCTGGGGTTTGTTAAGGTCAGTCGATTCTCCAAGATGGCTTGCTCTTAGACCGGTCCCTTCTACCTCACTCCCCCACCACTGCAGTGTTCTAAGTGCAAACCACTATCTCTTTTTAATTTTCCAGGACTACATAGTCTACGATTGTGGCTGCTTTATTCCCCTGGTAGTTTACCCATGAGCGCAGATCAACAGTTATCAACAACTAAAGAAAACCTGAAAAGCTGGTTGCCAGCTGTAAATTTTAAGGAGCATTGGCTTTCTGACGCCTGGGATTTGTTGAGTCCTGCTGTAAATATACATTTGTCAACTCTAGTCTATTTAGCTGGAATGATTTGTATTGGCCTCTTGGATTCCAAAAGGTTTCACACTTTGTGTTTACATATTCTTATTGTTTTTTTTTTTTTCTATACAGCTGGAAGATGGACATTCCCTCTTTGACTATAACGTTGGATTGAATGATATTGTCCAACTCTTAATCCGTTCGCAGTCTGAGGGTACAAGCAATTCAAAGAAAAAGGAAGGTGAAAGCAAAGCCCAGTTGAATTCCACAAATAAGCACAAGTCACGTGTATCCACTTCAGTTCAGCCATCTACTTCCGCCCGATCTTTCCTTATTGATGCAGGAATTGGAATTTACAAGGTAGGTCTTGATTTTTAACATTTGATTTTTGAGTAATTATACGTTGCTTTTTAGCATTTCATATTCTGAATATAAGCTACTATTTAACTTTTAAAATAAAATTATATAATAAGCGTCATGTTTAATGTTATTAAAGCTTTGGCAACATACATCTATTAAAGGTTTTGGATGAATTAACAGCCAAGCAACTAGAATTTTCATAATGGATTTTCAGCACTAGCAACCGGCTTATTTTCTCATTAACAGTTTCCTTTAATGGTCTTGTCCACTTTTTGATATTTACAAGTGATGATGGTGATCCCACCATGGCTAGGGATAATTCAGATTCTTTGATTGGGTAGTATAGAGGTTTCAGAAGTTAATGTTGAAAATGTGTTTGTCTCCCCTGCTACTGAGCTGTTTCATAGGCAGTGATTTTTTTTCGCCCAGTGCAGTGCATCCTGGCCTTGAAGACTGATTGAAAGCAAACAGATTTCTGAGGCTGGGACGTATTTTGTGGAAAAGACAAGCAGCTCTAGGAGCTGTAGTGGTCTTGGAACCCATTTGAGGCATCTTTTAATAAGCTAACTGGCAGAGTACACAGTAATGCAAGTCAGAATCACTTGTACTTAAAGTCTTCCATTAATAGCAAGGCCCATTTTCAGTGATGTATCTGCCATGGGAACTGTTGGCAATTGCGTAATATCCTATAGCTGGCTTCTTTTCAATAGTGCGTTTGGTCTTGGCCATAGGGAATATAGCCATAGGGAGACAGGTAGACCATGATATTCTATGGATAGGTGGCAGGGCTTATACTGTATAGCAGAAAGGCTGGCTTTCATTCAGATGTTTTCATTTGTGTCAGGTCTCATATAATACTTATAGAGGAGGGCAGTTGGGGGTGGTAACTTGAAAAGCACTGTTATTATACTTCATATTGCCTTCGTAAACCTTTGTTTATATGATTAATGAACACTCCAGTCATACAATCAACAGAGGATCACTCTATTAACACCCACAACCCCTGCCTCAATGGAGCCCTGGGTACAGCATTGCCCTACCTCCACAATAACTAGTGGACATTAAATAGTAGCTTGCAGTCCTTGACTTTCAAGGACAGTCTGAAGTTTTGATGATTTGAACCTGGTTCTAATTTCTACCCACCTACCTGAATAACATCCCTTCCTTCTTTTTTTTTTCCTGCATTTTTATATCTTTTATACAAGTTTACATGGACGAATATACCATTAATATGGACGAATATAACATTAATATTAAAATTTAAATAAAAAAAAAAAAAAAAAAAAAAAAGCAGTGCGCTCCAACACTGAGCCCCACAATTCCTCTTGTACACCAAGAGGCTGCAGAGCACCCCTTCACTTCTTCAGCTGCACATACCAGAAAACCCAGATGTGCTCACCCCATCTTCTCTCCACAGTGTTCATAAGCTCATCCTGCATCAGCCAAACGCATATTGTGTCCACCCTTTCCTTCCTCCGTGCGTGGCACAAAGTTCTTTCAAAGCGTACAGTAAATGCGTGACCCACAGAAAATAAGAAACTTCTATACATTTATGTCATTTATGATAGAAATTCATTTAAACATACCTGTTCTATTGCCCATGCATTTTAGTTTCACATTAACATATTAATCTGCTAATTACCGGCTGATGAACTGTCACAGACCCGTAATTTATCACTAATGTTGAACTTATAGTTTTAGAACATTTCTTGCAACCAATAAGAGGTGGAGACTTGGCAAATGTGGATAGTGTGTCTAATGGTAGAACAATACAAACCGTTGTGACTGTGAAGGGTCTCATTTATCCAGGTCATGGTATATCTGTAGAAAAACATAGCAAGTCCAGTTGCCTTGACTTATTTGTTACAGAGATACAAACCATTCTTTCAAATGCCACCTCTCTTTGTATCTATTAGATTAATTTGATTAGTTGTCAATGTATAAATTAGAAAATAATAGTTGTAGCATGTGGGCAAAGGGCATGTTTTATCAGAATTTTCACTAAACCATGTTTATGTATATGGAGGGAAGGCCCTATTGCGAGTTGCTACGGTACAAGGGTGGCCATGTATGGGCAGATCTCCATCTGTTAGCACTGGGAGGTAAGACGTGTGCCTGTTGTCTCTGGTACTGCCTCAGTGATGTAACTTGTAATGTATAATAAGAGAATAGTTTCCTGGAACCAGTTAACTCTTATGCAGCCAAATCACAACAGTTAAAGCTCAGATCTGCTGCACCGCATGGAAATATTGACCTGCTTAATATCATGTTTATGAATGGGCCTCATTAAGATGTGCTGTAGAAGAGTAGAAAATGTTGTTGGCTCCAACAAAGGTTTTCCTATTTATGCCATAAAATTTACAGTGCTCGATTCATTGCTACCTTTCTTGTGTCCCTGTAAAACTATCTACCAGTGAATCCTATATATTTCTTTATACTGCATATTTCTAGTTTAAAAAGATGTGACGTTGAAAAAAATCTTGCTGTCTATTATTCCTCCCAGCCAAAACAGATGAGTATATGACTTGAGGTGATAGGTTAAGGACAACTGTGCTAAAAGTTATCTTTTAAAAGAGAAGGTTTTTTTTGTTGTTATCAATATCAGCATACACTGAGTGGCCAGATTATTATGACCACCTGACGTTTGTAGGCAAATTAGCGATAATTAGCTATAATTTTGCGCTGAAGTTGCTAGAGGGCCAGACCATTATAAATAGGGAAGCAGGTTGTTTACCACGACAGTAGTAAACTGTGATTTTGTTTCTGAAGATATGGGTAAACAACGCGATTTAACAGCCTTTGAACGTGGGATGATTGTTGGCGCTCGGAGACATGGAGCGAGTATCAGCAAAACAGCAGAATTCGTTAAATGTTCAAGATCAGCTGTTGTTAAAGTGTTTAAAGACTGGACTGTCAGCCGAAAATCTGGGTCTGAACGTGCGAATTGTGGCCGTCAGCGACTAGTCAATGTTAGTCCTCGCATCATCTTTCATCATCTCGTGGAGTCACGAGGCGGCCCAACGAAGTCATCTCGTGGAGTCATCTCGTGGCCCAACGAAGTACTGATGGGGTGGTCATAATAATCTGGTCACTCAGTGTATAGTGGGTTACTGTAGAGCCATGCTGCAGCCAGAAAGGACCTCGGCAATATTGTCTGGACTCCTATGAGTGCTGGCGGAACAGAGAGGGGGGAATCCCTGCATGCAGCGGTGACTGGCAGTCATGGCTCTCTGGAGGAAGAAGCCTAGAGCTATGATCACTCTGCTCTCGGTATATAGAGCTGAGTATAGTTGTATATTTCGCTCTAATACTTCTCCTTTAAATGTTTTCAAGGAAGTTGGCATTCAATTTCAAGTTTTATTTCATGGAAATGTGCAATTCGTGTTAAGGCAGATCATGACTCTTTTATGCATTGCTAAATTTTAACTGAACTTCAGGCAAATAACTAAAAACACAGTTGAAATATATGTATTCTGTTTTACCAGCTGATTTGTATTGTTATCCAGCCAGTTATGCACTTTAATTGGCCTTGCCAGACAGCACAGCCAGGTTGGTGACCTGACTTTACTTTGCTGCATGTAAGCAATACAGCTTTGTGGAGCCCGGAACAGCCCCGAACAGGCAAATCAATCGATAGCCGACGAATCGACGATCGAAAACGTTGCCAACGTTTTCAATCGTCGATTTTAATCGACTAAATCGATTAACTGTTGCAGCTCTATTGGTCACCCCTTTGTCCACAGCATGTATACTAGTTACTTGCTAGTTTATGCAACTGAATCTTGATATCAGCCTCTTAAAGCCTCCCTAATAATATGGCACAATGTTGGAGAGGGCAGGTTAGTACTTTGAGCCAATCAAGCTCTGTTGCATATATATGTGTTACAGCAGACGTTGATTGGCTCAACTGACCTTAGGTTACCATTGTATAGTTTAGCATTCATTGTGGTGGGATCCCTTGTACATGCTACATGCTTTATTACATTTTGCCATTATCAGAGTGTCAACACTTAAAGTGAAATGTTTGCTGTGCTGGCTTATAATTGTACTACAATCAAAGTACTGACCCTCCTTCTCCCAACCAGACTCCTTCAATATGGAAAATTACAGGCGACTGATATCAAGACAGATTCAGGTAGTTGCATTCAAAAAATGCATTTAGTTATTTCTTAATAAATAAATATAATGGTATTTTGTTTTTTTTTTTATATCTGCCTGGAGTTCAGCTTTATTTAAAATTATTCAAAATATGACATTTTGGCCTTAAATGTGTTCTGTTCATGATTACTTTTGTGTGGAGGCAGTTATTCTGATCCGAACAAAACATGCAAGCAGAAAACGGAAAACTTTCACTGAGCATGAGAGGCATCGACAAAATGGTGGAAGTGAGCGGCTGCAGATGCACGCTGATGTGCAGAAGCCGTTAGCTAGATGTAAATACACGGAGAATGCACACAGAATGAGCGTAGTCCTAAAACGTGACAGACGTCCTGAAGATACAGGGAGCGACGGCTAACGAAGCTAGCATTCTACACAGCGAGTTATAAATACACGGAATGAGAATGCAGAAAACACGAGCCTAGTCCTTGAACAAAAGAGAGACATCTGAAGGCAGAACTGTGCTTCGATCCACAAAATGGTGGAAGGCAGCGGCTACAGAAGCGTACTGATGTACGGAGGCAGTAGCCAGATGTAAATCTTAAATATGAGGCATCCTCACGTAGTTAAATATACATATAATGAGAATACAGTCGCTAAACAAAAGATAAACATCCTGAGAGTGACTGAAGGCTGGAGCTAGAGAAGCGTGCTGATGTGTAAAAGCCGTTCGCTAGATGGTAATATGAGAAAGCATACAGGGCAAGCACAGAACACAAGAGAGACATGGCGGACGCAGCCTCTAAAGATTGAAGACAGACTGGGATGCTTTTTTTTAATTTACCGTAAAAATGATTTAGAACATTTCACTTTTTAGCCTTTTATTCTTTGCGGATATGCTG